AACTGAATCGAAGTGGCAGACGCAGCATGACTGTTAGGTGCAACGAAAAATGCACTAATGGCAAACTGAAGGTGACGAATCAAGAACATATAACTACCCAAGAAAATAGGTCAACGTGACCCAGATATCGAGTACAATCAGACTGTTCACCTCAAGGTCATCAGCCCTCAGAGAGGATTCGATGATCACAAATCTATTGGTTTTTGGAATAAATCCAGTTATTTAAAAGCTCGGGTATTCCTGGGGTCGACCATAGTGTTATTGGGGATAACGAACGTGCAGCTGCAGAAAATGCAGTTGCGTTGCGAAAGGTTTGGTATTTCACGAATGCGCTCGCGGCTCGTTTCACATTTGGCCGAAATGGCTAATATGGCTCATCTTCTCTCTTTCTGAAAAAATAATAGTAAGTAGAAACGGCGCCATACCGAGTTCAATAATTAACCAAGTCCAAACATATCGATACATTTTGTTGCCCAGGGGACTGTAATATCTCAGGTCGTATGGATGGCCGAACTTGGTAACTTGGTTGTGAACGTTTTGTTGGAGCAGAACAACCATTCATAAGACATTCCCCTGAATAGTAAAGTGTATCAAGTCCGATACATCTGTTATCCGGGGGACTGCACTATATCTCAGAATGACTGCGCCAGGAGCAAGACTTTTCAAACGAGGGTTATGTGAACGCAAGTTCTACAAAAGTCAAGGTTAAAACATGGCTACCGGCACCAATAACGCGCACTGAATCGCGTAGTCTATCCGGCACAATAAGCTAAATTTGGGTGACAGATAGTCAACAACGGGATTACGGTATAATGACCATCTTTGCAAGTTAATATGGGTGACAAAAATCGAGGGCGACCAGTGACGGTATAACGACGGTATGCTGACTGCAGTAAAGTGTAATTAAATAGGGGTCACACACAGAAGAGTTTGAAGGTAACAAGTAGCTACGTAAAATGGTTGCCGTTGAATGTTGCAACCAAAAAACACGAGATCGCGCAGTGCATACTGTTAATCAGCTATACAATCAGTAGTCGACCTCTCAGCTCCGGGAAGGTGGCATGGGAAACTCTTGGATATAACTGTTACTAAGTTTTGATAAACAAGCTTGACTCAAGTTGGATACTATTCAAAAGAATGTCGTCCAGTTAAATGCAAAGCAAAATGATCGGTAGGGTTGTAGTAGTAACCCTTCTTTGTCGCTGTGATAGATGGAAGGTGACCTAAGGTGTCAAAAGATGGTCCACAACACCTAAAAAAACTTTGAAACACATCAGAATGTAACCTGATAATGTTGGATGTTTGTACACAGCACGCTGCGACGACCAGCATAGCAAATTAACTGACCACCTCAACGAAAAACTCCACATAATGGGCGTAGTTCTATCAGTTTTCAGCGGCCTGCAAGCAGCATCAAAGAAACGATAGCCAAGTCCAAAACAAAAAGAAAACGATCACACACAAATCAGACGCAACACCCGGAAGCCCTGAATAAAATGGAATCACACCTGCCGGCGGTCCAAAGTCATCCCTATCTTTTTAAAAAGAAGAAATGAATGATATAAGGGCAATAAGTATGATATCGCCTAACCCAGACAATGCAATTGTCAGCGCTGGGATGACTTATATTCATAACGTCGTAGTACAAGAAAAATCTGGTATAGTTAGCCAGCTAGCAGACCAAACCACATCGGCAAACAAACAAGGTCAAATTCTATTTCATTCCCTTTAGCGATGATGAGAACAAACTCGTGCCTCCTACTGTGACCAGTTCGTCAAACGTGAACCGCATGGTAAGACATCTGCATGACCAATCATTGGGCCAGAACATCATCTGCGACACACACTCTTGGAGCAACATTTTTTTCATCGCGGTGGAAACAGTGTGTACACGTACTGTGTTTGCTTGTTCGTTTCGATCTCGGGTCTCAATTAAGCTCCTAGTTTTGGAAAACTGCGGTTTCAACAAAGCCGCCACAAAACAACCGACAAGATGATAACATCTCTTTCACATTCGTTGGCCGTCTGCATAAAACACAGGTGTGTAACAACAATGAGAAAGAACAAGTAAAATGGTCAGTGGATGAGTACGAACACGGTAGGTGGATGTTTTGAGTCAATGCGTATTGCACACATAAAATTGGTTGTCTCAAATTAATTCGCATTACGTAAACAAATGCTTCAGGCGTTTTCGGTTGCGTAAGAGAATTGTGAAGGGTATGTGGAATGATCCGCAGCCGATAGGGGTTTTTCAATCGATAACGTCGGCGCGCTGAATCAACCTCCAAGTGGTGCCGACCGGGTACCCCGGATGTCGATCTGGGTGACCCAACAGTTCAAAAACACCAAATGTGACTGACCATCCTGTTTAGCTACAACAGACTGGTTTCTTTCGAGAGTGAACAACACGATCCAGCTGGCACCCCTGAACCAATTCAAACCAGTATACAGAAGAGGCCTGTTGGGTTTACGGGTGCGAACTGCAGCACGTTTTACAAACCGCCAGCAGTCCATCGTCAAATTCACGCCTATGGAAGTGATGGGACGATCGTGGTAACCTAGTTTGCCTGTGTTGATTGTTCTCACCGGTTTCCGACGAAGACTGACCTGGGTTAACACAATCAACACACACACCCTACTCATTGTAATCAGGTAAGCTTGACTGCTGGTCTCGTCAAGAGTAACAGTCACTCTTGTGCCTAGCTGACAAGTTATATCACTTTTGTGATACACAAGCCACAGTGTTCGCGAGACTGGAATAATGTCTTTTCGCTGGATCAGCTATACTTCTCATAGGTAGGTTGCAAGTGTTCAATCACGTGAAAAATACTTGAAATCGACTGGGTAGTCATCGTTTTGGAAAAAGTTTGGTGACAATCGGTATATTTGTTGCTGGGCAACGTTTCGCTTTTGACACAAAAGCTTCGTCAGGCCAAATGACTAGGTTCCGAGGTTGGTCGAGATTTAAGGCGGAAGGAGGTCCAATCAGTTAAGTCAAGCTAGAGAGGACACCTTTGCTCCGGACACTGTCACAGCGCCTGACGTTCCACAGAGTCAAAGTCGGTTGTCAAGTCAAGAAAGACAACCACTGTTGGGCACCGGAAGCAGTGTCGCTTCTCCAGAACCTGTTGGAAGGTTGAAATGTGATTAGTACATCGTATTGCAGGGTAGAATCCAGCTTGGTTTCCACGAGTCTGTCTTTCTCTGTGTTCAACTCACCTTCAAACGATAAAATTAGGGAGCGCCTTCGATGCCACGGCTACCAGGCTAATGCCACAGTGGTTTGGCACAGTGTCGATATCAGATCGATACTGTCAAGCGTTGACAGTTTTTCTATGGTGAAATGCCATGCTCCTTGCTTAGTTGCGAGGGTTTGAATGGAAAGCAACTGTCAGGCGAGATAAAACTCAAGCTGTAGGCCCCAGAAGGAACTGCAATCTCGGACTATGGCTCTCCACTGGTAGCTGATGGCCATGTGATCCAACTGTATCCGACGTCGATTTGCACTTGATAACCTCAAGGTTATGTGATGCGAATGTTTATGCTGGAAATTCTTACTCTTTCGACACGATCCAGTTGGCAACCTCGAACCAATTCCAACCCGTTTACAGAAGAGGCCCGTTGGGTTTACGGGTGCGAACTGCAGCACGTTTTACAAACCGCCAGCGGTTCACCGTCAAATTCACGCCTATGGAAGTGATGGCACGATCGTGGTAACCTAGTTTCCATGTGTTGGTTGTTCTCATCGGTTTCCGACGAAGACTGACCTGGGTTAACACAATCGACACGCACACCCTACTCATTGTAATGCAGGTAGGCTTGACTGCGGGTCTCATCAAGAGTGATATTCACTCTTGTGCCTGGCTGACAAGTTACACAAGCCACGGTGTTTGCGAGACTGGAATAATGTCTTTTTGCTGGATCGGCTATACTTTTCATAAGTGGGTTGCGAGTGCTTTGCTGAAAAGACAAGTGGACGAACCATCATCTAGTGACCCATTATAAACCATTGGTCAAACAGATCCACATTTGTCCGTACATAGAGCCCATGTCACATGCTTTGATCGAACCGCGGGTTGTAACTCAGACAGTTCACTTGCTAGTGTTGATAGTTTGGTTCTTGCATGAGAGTTGCGAACTGGCATCATGATATCGGAGCAAGTTCGGTAGCTCATGGACCACCACGCATCTACGACACTTCGACACACGTAGAAACCTGTCTCACGACACCGTTGATAGCAATTTCAGGGCGTGCGATTTGACCGAAAATAGATTTACGGAGACAACGTTGCCATGCAGACCTTACAACTCAAGAGGCGGAAATAAACAGCGTCCGCCGTGCTCGATGGATCGTGGAAGGAAGTATACAAAGGAAACGCCAGATACAGGTGCTTTCTGCCACAAAACCCCTAAATTGTCGACAAGTCGCGAGGCGCTACCATCTAAGTTGAGTTTAACCAAGCCAATTGAGGGGGAGGAAGTTGGCCGTACGACCCGTTTCGAAAAGCCACAATGCTTCGCCGGTTTAACGCCAGTACTTCGTTGGGTATTGCAACTTGCTGTTATCGTCTGGGAGGCTGTCCACCGTATCTGTGTTATGTCAGAGGTTGCAAGTGCTTTGCTGAACCATCATCTAGTGACCCATGAAAAACGATTGGTCAAACAGATCCACATTTGTCCGAACATAGAGCCCATAGTTTGGTTTCTCTGGTACGTAGGCATTGCGAGTGCGAACTACGGACCGCTCGACGACACGCTGTGAGATAAAAGTATACAACCGTGTTTCTTGTGTACAACTCCCAAGATTTTAGTCTCATAATATTGCAACAGTACGAGTAAATAAGCGAAGTAAAAAGATGAGACATATTTTCATCAGCCAATCTTATAGCTGGTCGTGCGTTTGTTTCCTGAGCTGGGGAACAATGAGTGCTATGATTTTCGCTCTTCAACGTACAGCTAGAGTCTAGAACTAGGCTAAGAATGGATTTTGAATGACTCACCATAAGTCGGTCGGTGTGAATATGCGGTGGGTGATGGATACGAGCCAATGCGTTCACAAACACCGATCCCGAAATAACCAGGAGAAAGAGAGCATTCACGAAACCTGACAGAACCTCCGCACTATGGAAACTGAAAGGGGGAAGAAGTTGTAGCCCCAGAATTACACTGATCAAGGATTTATACATACACGGAAGGTAGGTGAATAAACGATTCTTAAAAGCGAGTTTATGGAGCGATGCATTAGAATTTCTCTTAGTGGGAGTGCCCCAGCGCACCGAAATCGGCATACAAGTATTCCCTGACGTAGTAAAACACTCAGTCAAGCGCACCGCAGAGGAAGCGATTAGTGGCCATTGTCTCCCGACTTGTGGTGGGTTTCCGAGTCCTGTCAATGTCACACGGAGCGGAACAATGTTCGGTGAACAGATCCACAAAGCTTGAATACTACCGCACAGACAGTCAGTTGACCAGTCACTCTACACATGACCACAAATGGTTTGCGAAATCATCTAACAGACGGATTCAGCTAATCAGTGCTCACTGGGATCCCAGAGCCAAACCAAGAAAACTAGTAAAAGGCATCACGTGAACAGACAGGAAGCTGGAATAGAAAGGCGGAACACCTACAGCATGCAGCTAAGGATTTTCAAATTAAAGCAATTATTCAAGCAGAGTATTCCCCAAGGAGATTTTTGTGTGACATTGTCGCTCTTTCCTAAGATAAGGAAGATAATCGTTCAGCTGTAACACCTTTCGGTGCCTAGCTCCCATCCCACACAAAAGAAGCACGAGGGCTGGGATATTGCTAGGTTGCCCAAGCCCAGACAGAGGAAGTCGAAAGGCAGAGGTCGGGTTCGAACAACTGACTTTCCGGTCAGTAAATTCACGTTCTGACCCCGACCATGATGTTAGTCATGGCTACGTCGAGCAGAGTTTGTTGGAGCACCCCGTACTCAACCAGAGTGGAAAATGCAATACACTCACTGGGCTCCACATTCTTCGAGCTCCCTATTTATTATTTTTATCACACAAAACACTCTCTAACAGCACGTCTTCACTGATTTCTGCTCCCTATTCGAGTTCGGTACAGAGTCTGTTAGACTGGACTGATCAACATGATAGAACCCAGTCTACAGACAGACTAAGTTGATTCACTAATATACGCCCCGCGTAGAATTGTACGATCACTCGTGTTTTCCATCATAACCCCACTTCTGATGGTTGGAGTTGAATGATTTTCGGTCATTAGGCGAGAGATCACATGATAAGCTAAGGCAAAGGGTGTGAAATTTCCAGCGAAACTTATCTCGTCAGAAAACACTTTGATGACACTCTCCAGGCATTTCACCGTCAAACCTGACATACTTTGATGACTTTGTGGACAACATTCTTGTTTCGAAGCGACCACCAATGCAAGGATTTGGCGTTAGATCTATTTGCATCCGTGTGCACTCGCTCTGATGGTATACCGCGCAGAGTCCTGCTCATGACCACAAGTTGCCCGGTCTGAGCACTTTGCTGGATAGAACAGAAGCCAGTTCACGATGACGTGATAGGCATGAAACAACTCGTTTTTTCACTCAACTAGCCCACCCATCAGTCCAATAACGAGTGGGAACAATAATTGTTCGAATGTCTGCATACACGTATCAAATGTACTCAAATGACTTGCATTTATCTCAGCATTCACGAACATGCTACGACCAAACGTATCCACAATGTGGTATGGATACCTAAGAGAGTTCCATTCCCCACTATTTGTGTGTGCCCACCATAAATGTTCTGCCCTATCCTGTCAAAATGACTGCTCCCCAAGAAATCAACTGATCAACTAACGCTCTGCTGTAACGCGTTCAATTGGCTAACCACTCGATGCATTCTGTTTCCGTTTGACGGGCGTGATACCCACCGTAATCAACGCTTGGGTTAACTCACGGTCAGTGTGCCGTTCGATAAACCGTCTGAGTATGCTTCGATTGACCTCACGATGAAGTATTATGGCAACAGTGCTCGTAACAGATGCAGGCCCAACTTCAAACATTTCGGAAGACAAAGGAAATATCTGAGTTAGACAGACGGTAGACAAAAAATATTAAAAGGAAAGTATCTTCAAGGTAACCGTTGTGGCTTTATTGATGAAAGCAGAGGATCTAAGTGGATCGGACTCTCTGACCTCACTTGAATTTCGAATTTCCCCATAAAGTCCGGCTCAAAATCGGTTGTTTCCGAATAACACCGAGGTCTTTTTACCACCACAATGTTCACAAAATCGAAACTTCCTGAAACCAAGTGGTCAGTGTTAAACCAAAGGTGTTACCCGCGCTTCAAACTGGGTACTGTCGCACATCCTCAACATTCGGTTTCTTCAGCGCTCGGTAGACGTACCAAGACCACACGTTTACTGTTCCCAGACTATGAGTACCTTTTAGCAGCGCTTGAGCAAACTTGCACTTGTTTACTTTGCTAACCAGATAGATGAAAGCCCTTATCGGAACCAGCTCAAACAGGCGCCGTAAAACGCCATTTTTCAAGTGTATATCAACAATCTATTTGTTTTAGATTTTCTCTGCCAGTATGCTGATGATAGTAGAACTGGTCGCGACTGATGCCATGCAGAAGCTCACAAGGAAGTACAAGCTGAAATGGATGAATTTGTTGGGTGACCTAAAAAAATTCTCCGCTTTCTATCGTTTCAAAATGCCAATACGTTGCTTTCGCCTTCATTTGAAGTAAGCGTGAACAGGATCTCAAGGGCAGCTTGCCATCGCTTATCGCTCACAATATTCGTCTCCCAAGCCGTGGAACACCTCGGGGTTAACCTAGCTAATGACCACAAGTGGTCACCTGGTATCGAAACCTGTGCCGCAGTTGATGACCGCTTTCGTGATGCCAGACTGAAAGTAGTAGCCGTTTCTTTGAATAATACTCAACTCCATTACTTTAAGAATACCTCCCATTGGATTTGCTAATCTCTTGTCACATTCTTCTGGCATTTCGGAGAACGATGACCGATCAATCAACTTCAGGTAACATGTCGGAGCAGCCCAAACTTTGAAAGCTGGCTAATAAAATTGTCAAACACATTCAAGCCGGCGGCGAGCCATGCGACAATGCTATCTCCTTTGTACTCATGGGTACAGTGAAAAAAAATCGAGTGTTAAGGAGGGTCAGGTGAATTTCTATCGAAGGGAATGTGGTTAACCTCGCATACGAACAAAAATATCCGATATAAACGAAAACACAAACCCATCAGCTCCCGCAAAGACCGAAATGCATACCAGAGCCTAGCAACAGGTTAGACAGGAGGCCACAAATGACTGACTGACTTACCCGAAAGAAAACAGACGTGTAGGTTCCCAACGTGAAACTACTGCGGCGTACAGGCCAACAACAAGAGCGGCCGAGTCGAAAAGCATGTGAAACCCATCTGATATTAGTCCTAAACTATTGGTCCACACACCGTACAGGAGTTCAACGAACGTGAAGGCCTACAAAAGGAAATTGGTGAGTGGCAAAAATCAAGCAAAATATGATCACTTTGACAAACAGAAATAGAAAAAGGACATTATTCGCAAACGCCAAGTAGTTTCAGTAGGCATCCTAAGTTGGCTGATTTGTAACTCGCCCAACTAAAACCGTGATTCTGTCATCTAAGTGATCGACCACAAAGATAGCGGGGGGAATAGCCACATCAATAATGTTACCTCAAGTAAACACAGACTTTCTCAAAATCCAAAACACCACTCACCAAGTAGTATTGAAAAAAGCCTACGCAACAAAAACGAGATAACACGTTCCACCAGAGAAAAGTAAACAAGAGCACTCTTCTGCATCCTCATGCTAATGCACCCTCCTCATCATCCACATCTGCATAATCCCCGTCAGCCAAATCCTAATCCACACCACCTCCAACGTCCTCCCCCTCCTCCTCATCATAATCATCATCACTATTATCCTCAGTAACAGCGGCAGCATGAGTTAGTCGATCCACCTGAAAAGAATTAATATTTGCCAGTTGCGCACGTTTTCTCCGAATCTTGGACATGCGCTATAGACCAGCTGCTGTGACTTGATGGACGGTAGTGCAACTCTGTATCGGTCCCTTGGCTTCCTGCTCCAAAAGGCACGGGAGCTCTACACAGCCCTTTATGGAGACAAAGGGAGATTATTACAACTGTACTTATAGGGTAGCCATAGAGTGTTCGACAAGGTCGTGCTAGAATCTCCGAGAAGCGTCGAGTCAAAGATGCTCGATCCGGATTGGCTGGCATTCTAACCAATCAGAGCATTCCTTCGTTTGGTCCGTGTCCTGCACTTGACACATCCGTCCAAATGATGTGATGTTCGGTTATTAGGGACGGCTGGCTTCCGGTCACCAGCGCCCACTGTTATTTATTAGAATGATCAGTATTCGGTGTCACAATGACTCGCGTGCGCAATCCTGGTCAGTGGTCCCCATAATGGTTTGTCTGGAGATCCACATTCTGATGACGTCAGATGTCCATTCGACCTCATTGAAGCTAGCGAAAACGGTCTTAAAAATTATGAGCACCACTCCACCTTTCCACAAAATGATCGCCATCATAGTCCACAATCGCTTCCAACAACCCTTGGGTCAGGTCGATTCAAGACTGTTAGCCTGCCGTTACCCTATGGGGGTCTTGGTCGCTCTGCGGAGGGATTGCTAGAAGTTAACACACTGACGGAGGTCTTTGCTTGTGTAGACAATCCTATGTATTGCACTGAATGGCAGGGATGCATTCGCTAAAGGATGGATCACATGACTTTGCCACGCCACCTTCCGACTTTCCGTCCGCACTCACGGGAATTTAGGAGAGCTAAGGGCTACCAGGTAGACTTAACTGCTGTTTAGTTATGGAGTACATAAATACTGACTTGCGAAATTGCTCTGGTTAAACAATCAACTGAAATCCCGAAAACGTATTCGATCTAGAAAGGCGAGTGAAAAGCGTATTGTCACAATAGATGGGGGGCAAATGTCAAATCACAGCTGAGGAAATCCAACTCACAAGGTTCAAACAGAGAAAGGCGAATATTCTCCTGGATGAATGTTCTGACATGATACCTCGTATCGTTGTCCGCACGTGATACCAGAGACCCATTGTTTCCGGGTGGCTCAAAAGTGCATCACCATGAGATGGCGTCTGCCCGGCTGTGAACAAAGGCAGACCAGCCATAGAGTAGCCGATGAAATGTCCGCTGGATGCACCGTCCGGGCCGTATCCAGGTTTTACATTGGTCAACAGATTCGAAGCTAAAATAAGGGAGAAATTTGGAATCAAAGTCTACACCTCACTAAGCTAGGGAAAGTTGGAACCGATAAAAATGAGAAGGTATGAATGAACAGGTGGGTTCAAGGGTGGGGAATTGCCTATGTAAAATAAACTATTGTAAAGGGGGCTTTAATACTAAAATTGTTGCCATAGTTCCTGTCTTTAGAGAACTCGTAAAAATCATATAGAAGTTACTTTCCGTGGGGAAAAATAGTCCAACAATGGTAGTAAAACACTGAGCAGCAACAGTGTGTGCAACCGCTGCCCTATTATACTGCAACACACATGCTTGTCGGTCATAATTTTTCGTGTCCAACATTCAAACTCATTTTCTTCAGGAAATCAAAATTGTTAAATTCCCTCTTATTTAAGGATATCTTGCCTAACCCGTTCATCATTCAGCTGTAACACCCTAACTTCCATGCTAGGCGAAGGAAGCACGAGGGCTGGGATATCGCCAGGTTGCCCAAGCCTAGACAGGGGAAGTCGAGATGCGGAGGTCGGGTTAGAACCAAGGGCCTTCCGGTCAGTAAACTCGCGCTCTAACCACTGAGCCATCTCACCCCAAAGTACTATTGATGGCTACATCATGCGTTTACCCCGAATCATCAGAGTCGAATCGGACATTTTCCGCAGAGGTTCGCGCCTTTCAACTATTTTCACCAAATGAGACACTTTATTTTATGATCTGTGTAGCAGTATGTGGCTCAGGAATATTGCCGCAGTTTACTGTTTACGTAAACCTCCCTCTGTGACCGTCGTTATTCAGATCTAGCTTAACGACAGCTGGTACTGACTAGCCATATGTGTGTGTCCGAGATGCGGGTTCTGAATGGTATGGTGCACAAGATGACCCAATAAACGCACTGCATCCATTTGAGTTGACAATTATGGGCATGCTGGTGGCTTTGGAATTGCCCGTAACTTTCACCCTCTGGTCTTATTCCCTCGGGTTTACACCGAATAAAGAGCACCCAGGTGAATGAACATGCAGTTCAGTACTATTGATGGCTACATCATTCGTTTACCCCGAATCATCAGAGTCGAATCGGACATTTTCCGCAGAGGTTCGCGCCTTTCAACTATTTTCACCAAATGAGACACTTTATTTTATGATCTGTGTAGCAGTATGTGGCTCAGGAATATTGCCGCAGTTTACTGTTTACGTAAACGTCCCTCTATGACCGTCGTTATTCAGATCTAGCTTAACGACAGCTGGTACTGACTAGCCATATGTGTGTGCCCGAGATGCGGGTTCTGAATGGTATGGTGCACAAGATGACCCAATAAACGCACTGCATCCATTTGAGTTGATAATTATGGGCATGCTGGTGGCTTTGGAATTGCCCGTAACTTTCACCCTCTGGTCTTATTCCCTCGGGTTTACACCGAGTAAAGAGCACCCAGGTGAATGAACATGCAGTTCAGCGCAAACCGTATGTGTCACTAGCCAACGTGCCCGGGTATTCATTGGCGTATCGCAATGTTACAGGCCAATTCAGAAACACATGCCGGCCCAGCATGTAAAAACCTGAGCGAAACGTTTACATCCTGTACTGAGCCAGTCAATGCGCACACACACGAGGACTTACCATAAAGAATCGAAACCATGGCAAATAAGACTCCACCAGAAAGACCATGTACAGATAATCCCGATGTCTGGGAGCTCGCTCCTGGAAACGCTGATATGGAGGGCAACGAAACGTACGAATCTGGACCCCATACGAGGCTGACAGGAAATAGGGACAGATGAGTGAAACACACGTGAGCAAATGACCCACAGATGTACTACACAGTCAGAACGAATTCTCTTCAAATCCTTCGATATATTGTGCTACACGGTCACGATTGGTTGAAAACAACGATAAAAACAAAGTGAAAGAAAAATGCAGCTACAGTTCACCTTGAGTTCCTACCTGATCCCCCATTAATAAGAGCATAATATGCCGACCCAGGTAATGTGTGTTATGAGTCAGCATTCTAACCGTGATATCGTGTTCATCATTGATCCATCTAATTTTTGTAGGAAAAATATGCTTGTAATTCAAACATCTTTGACTTCATTTTTGGCATACGAAGTTTGTTTACCTAGAGGAACCGAAAGAGGTGGCCGTGTTTTCATGAAGGAAACTACTCACAAGGTTGCTGAATACTCTTCGACAGCCCACGACCGGTTTCGCCTTCTTGGGGCTCATCAGATAGGCGCAGTCCCCGAGTTTCTGGATCATAGCAATAAGCGTACTTAAAATTGTGTCCGACATATGTCTACCCATAAAGTATCCAGAGAAAGAGCAAAATTAACCTTCTGACCGGGTTCGTACGTTAAAGGCTGTAATAAAAACTGGGGAACAAGGTCTGAATAGCGAACACGAAGCGGTAAACCTATGCGATGGAGTCCAACTGGTCGCTTCCCTGGATGTCTGATACAACTACGGCTGGGATCGACAGAATCAATTATTAAGTGGAGCAGAAAATCAATGAGAGGATAAGAATGAAAAAAAACAGGGGAGATATCAGCAGCCGTATGTATTTGCTTACGCATCTTGATGTATGTGGTAAACGATTCGAATCGGTCGATACCACCATACAAAAGGATATGACGAGGCTTTTGTATGTGTCCTAGTTGAATGTGGGTTGAAATATTGTCGGGTCTCATAAACCCAGAGAAGAAAGAGATTAGAACACTCGACCAAAGTCAAAATCCTCCCTTTAATGTAGTGGCGGTTGAAATAAGACTACCGGAGTCGTCATACATGACCCCAGAAGTTTACACGTCCACATCACTGTCGTTTGAACAGCCATCCTTTTGTCCTGGCGCAACTATTCTGTTGAGTCCACACCAAAGAGAGGAAGCATTGAACTCAAATTTCACTCCCATTAGAGGTTATCAGCGGTCCATATTCTTGACCGCGCCTGACTTGTTAGGTGGAATTCTGCGCCGACAATGCTTTACTGCCCGCAGTTAGGCGGTTGGTTATGACCAAGAAGCCTATCCTTTATGCGACTAGCCAGAAGCTTGGGTTACATGCCGGTCTAATATCGAGGTAAGCTCCGATTGACCGAAAGTGCACAAGCAACAACCAATCATGACCCATTATCCGCTGAATACATCTAGAAGGCGTCAGAATTTCCAAAATGTTGTCGCCACATACGCTTCATATACGAAGCGCTGTACATGTGTTTCTGACCTGGTTTTGGGCGTTACGACACGTTGTACACCTTGGTGGTAGTTTTGACGGAAACGCTAGCTTGGAAGATCCAGACGGAACTGAGGGCGTTCAACACGTAAGCCGAGTGTGTTGCCACCACTCTATCAGCACACGCTGAGCGCGCGAATAACCACGTCTGTTCACGCTTGAGCGATGTGACTGGTTTGTCTAACGCCTCGAACGTGGATCCAGTACCTTCAAATTTTATCCGTCTCAACTTCTACGATGCTCCACAAATGTTACTTTATTCATACACTGTTCATCTTCTGAGTAATGAGGTATTATCCATGTCCCAACGATTCATGTTTTTAACCATTTTGACGCTCATCAACCTTATAATGGGTTTCTGACTGTGAATCTCCCTTCCCTAGCATATTATTTTCGTGAGCAGTAAGAAACAGCCGATTTTGAAAGGATAATACAAATCTATGCATTATGGTGATTCCGTCATCCAAATGTACCCTAAAACCTATCCGAAATACACAGGTGGAACGTTTCCATTTAGCAAACATCAGTGTAAATAACAAGTGAGAACCCACCTTAGAACTAGAGCCGTAATGGTGACACACAGCTTGGCCAGAAAAGTGGTAGCTTGTGCACCCAAACGCACGCTCACCAAACTTGTGAAGTAAAAATCCATCACGATCGTCACAGCAACAAAACTCAGCTTCAAGAGCAGGTACATGAGCGGGCCCGTTTGTAAATTTGCTGATAAAATCGCACTCCGCTCGTTTCTCTCGATTGGGGTCTAAATTGGCAGAGCAGTGGGATGAAATGAGTGATAGAGTGAGTAAAGCCCACTCAATCTGTTTGAACCATTTCTAAAAATAGTAGGCATACTTGGTAAGGCGAAAATCCAGTCCCCCAGAAATGACTGAGCAAGAAAATGGGAATCAAAATACCGAAGCCGACGGGGGCAGCCAATGCATGCAAGCGTTTCGCGCCACCTACGGAAGTGACCAGATTTTTCGACAGCGCAGCACATCCTGCATCCAGACACACCGCCAGAAATAGGATGACAACGCCAACCTAGAGAAGAAGTTATGCAAGTGGCCGAGAATGAAGAAGTTTAAGGAACGTGAAAACGAGCGTTCAAGTTGCAAGGTAGAGGGAAAAATAGGGTACTGCTGATGGTATATATTAAAAAAAAACATGGAACGTAAGAATCTAGAAATCCTACCTATATGGGAACAGCAACACAATTGCCAATTGTGATCTTTTTTAATAGCCTACACACATTAGATTTAGGGTATACTGCTCACAACTTCAAACACTGAACCTAAAACTGAGCATTAATTACACGTGTGAACCCTTGAATACGGAGCGACGAATGAGGAATGAAAACTGAAGCGTGGAAACACTAGATTGCAGAACATATACTACTAACGCCGCTTTTGATGCAACAAACTTCGACATCAACGGGATACAAAGCGGTCTCGCCTAAGGAGCACATTAGATTATATAGCCAGGACGGAACATGCTTGACTTCTACCGATTCCTCAGAACAATACAGCAGAGAGATCCTGTCTAGAATAAGCTCAAAAACAAGGAGCGAATTCAGTCGCATCATAAAAATAGGGATATAATCGTTCAGTTGTAAAAACTTTCGGTGTCTGGCTGCCATGTCACGAAGGCTGGGATACTACCAGGCTGCACAGGTCCAGACAGGAAGTCGAGGGGCAGAGGTCGACCAGGCTGTACAGATCTAGACTGGAAGTCGAGGGGCAGAGGTCAGGTTCGAACCACGGACCTTCCGGGAAGTAAAATCGCGCTTTAACCACTAAGCTATCTCGCCCTCACAGGTTGTGGTATTCCTGAAGGGTAAGTAACCAATCTCTTGCAATCAACCTGCACAGGCAGGCGCAATCATGAGCAGTGGTTCTCACACTTTTCAGCTAATCGCCCTCTTGGATCCTCATACGTTACGCTACCACCCCTTCATTTTATATACGGTACGGTGAATTCCCAACAGGTAAAACGAAACACGATCTTATGCAATAATACCAAATAGTCTCTCCAAGAAAGACCATCACCAGCGGAGACCCAAAACCCTCATTTCGATTAGTCGTCTGGGGTGTGGATTAGTTCCCAGAAAACAATGATGGTACCATGAGCAGGTTTAATGGATTAATACCAACTGAATGGTACGGAATAGTTCGGAACTCGCTAGCTAGAAAGAAGCTTCCTGATGTGCAAAAGACCTGAGTACAGTGTTGGAAATGCTGTAACGAGGGGGTGAATTTCTCCGAAATTCACAAGTTTCGTCCTGTAAATGAGAGGGAGTTCCGAGAAACTTGTGCATTTGGTGATGGGCCACACTCTTGCAGTCAACTGCACAACTGAGTCCCAGGTTAGCAAGGAATCAAAATAGGTAGAGAAAACAATATTCACTGTAGGTGCGCAAGTCATTCTCCTCTTGGAAGACATCCCCAAAGGACCTCCATTTGGAAAAGGTCGAAACAGTCTTGGAACCGGCCGTTCTTGTCTGAAAATGTCTTCATTTCGCAGAAAGAGGAATGAATCTCTTAGAGGTAGCATTGTGACTGAAAAATGATGGGTTGATCAATGAATTGTTCTTCGAGTTTTAGAAGGAACAATATTACTCCATAGTTGATACACAGTGATTCCGTAAACCGATATTATTAGTTGATGTATGAGAATTTTTAAGCCTTCACAACGTTATTATACTGGCAGTTGCTTGTATTTAGGATTATTTTATAGATAACGATAATCAGAACTTGATCAACATCGATTCAAGTTGTCACGTGTTCCGCTCCGGGAAGTGATCAAACGGAACTCGAAGCTCAATCTTGTAGTTCTAGTTCTATTTGAATTGCAAAACGTGGGACTGAACGGAGGTTTGAACTCCAACGCTTGAACCTATTGACCTCTGACAAGTGAATTAATATGACAGGAAAATCGTATATAGAGCCACCAGTCCCTTTTTCCCGGTGATGCTTGGTCACAATGGTTCGGACTCGTCGCTATGTCCCACGTTTCGTTGTCTTCACTATAAAACTAACCAGATAGAGCATGCAAACAGTTCGACAATTTTCGCATCGGAACGTGAAACAACTTGAGTCAAGGTTGGTCAGTCCACCTCAATGCCTCAAGCACAAGTCGAGATACAAACAACTAAAGATGGAATGACAATGTGAAGTCGTAAGACACTCGAAAGGTTGTCCAGTCCGAGCTTAATAAATGGGATAAATAACCGGAAGGAACAAAACACAACCAGGCAACTAGAAACCCATAAATGTTGACTTGTGTTTGCTTGCCATTGTGGGCTCTCTGCGTACTTATGACACTTTTATGCGTGGCACATGGCGTTGAAGGTACATTTTTGCCATTTAATCTCACACCAGACCCAGTATGACGGACAATTTGTTGCCTGATGTGCGAGTCTTGACTGTACTAGCGCACACTGCGCCTTGAAGAGCATTCACCATTGTTTGTCCTTTCTTTGGTTGTTGGTCTTTAGACGCGTGTTCCCATACCAAAATCTTTACATACTTTGGGATTCACCTCATCAGACTGGCACTGTTCTTGGCATGATTTCGAATGAGACGTTTCTCTCTTTTCTCCCATATTCTCCTGTTACTCTTTCACATTCATCGCTTGCATTCACTTTTTATGTTTGTGACCATGCTCTTCAAAAATAAATGATAATAGTATGATAATAGTAGTAGTGGTACGAACAGTCTTACATCTCTGAAATATCATCAATAAGTGTGACCAGAAAGATTTGTATGACTTACTTTATGATCCGAAAGACCAAAGTTGGCAAACAGTTCGTAAAGCTTGTGTATCAGAAGACTTTTGTGAACACCTTCAGCTAAAGTTACCACAGTTAAGGAGAACCTGCAGATGTGGATTGTACCATGGTAGAGAAGTGAGTAGCGTAGCGCGCCAGCACACCAGCCACTAAAAAATTAACCGAGTTAGTGGTCACGCATTCATTCATCATTCATCGATAGCGAAGAGACGGTTACGCATTAGGGGGGCGACAGGCTGCAACGCTGCAGTAAACACATTACCGGCGGAGAAAGTTACTTTCGGTTTTTTTTATTATGTTTTGAGTATGAAGGCGGTGCTCTGATGCGGGAATTCCATTGGTTACGTGACTGAGCCAGGATTTTGACTGTTGTCACCCAGGGAGACGACGGCTGCTGACGCAAATGAGTTTGCTGCACGAAGTTTCAAACCCAGCTGACAGGACATTGCCTAATCACTTCCACCTACCAATACTGTGAAAAGGGCGTGACCCGACGAACGCTCCCCATGGGAAGGAGCTACTTCTTCAATACTACTGATCTGATGTTCCCACGAAATTCCTTAGGTGCGTCGGAGATATCGATGGTTAAACACCGAGCATTCATTGATCATCTACTCGAGATAGTCGCACGACTGATCTATGATTGGGCGCAATGCAACGTTGTAAAAGCTGTTCACCAGTGACAGAGAATCCGGTATCACACTGACACCAACGATATAGACAAGACCCACGCTCTTCCCTTCTACTAAGGAAATTCAACCCTCCGCCAGTTCACTGGCATTATTGCAACTACCCAAGAGAGATTTTCTGGGTCACAGTACCCCGTGGTTTCTCAAGTATGAACTTCTGATTCAATTATATCCCATCCTACCGTTACATGTACATTAGCTTAAATGAATGTTAAAGTGTACATCACAAGAATTCAAGTAAGATCATGTAGGAAAATTGTGAATTACTGTTCCACGGCGGGTGCACTATCACATCCGCTGCCTCAAGAAAAAACGAGATATCGAACGTGCGAGTGATTAGTATTCCTTTTGCTGTGATCCAATATTCATAGCATTGGTACAGTGCGATGGCTCGTCCGCTCCTGATAGACCAAGATGACCTAACGGACCCTAATAATGGCGAAAAAATCGTTCAGCCGTTCGATCTTTTGGTGTTTAACCATGCCACCAGGAGACATGGCGATTGGGAAACTACCAGGTATCCCAAGCATAAACAGGGGTCGGGTTAGAACCACGGATCTTACAGTCAGAACAGAAGGTCTAAACAGACTCGCCTCTGCTGAAGGGCGGTATCCGAGCTCTTTGAAAATTGAGACCAAGTAAAAATTAACGTATTTTCCAAATTTTCAAATACAGGTGCACCGAGTTGTGGGTAATTCGCCAGGCACTCGACGATGGACAAAAGTGATCAACATTGAATGAACCAGGCATCGTACCACTATCTCGCCAAGCGACTTCCGGCTTTGAAGACATCACCACCATCAGAGACAGAAACGTCAACGTTGACAATTAAGCTTCATCACCGTAAAACCACAAAGTTAATTTATATTTAAAGCCTCAAAGAGAAAATTAGAGAGGGCAGTGGATTAGGGAGGAACCTGGTACAAACTTACTGCAAGCAATCCGAAGTGCTCACACCTCCATACGTTCAGTCAGAATATCTAGAGAGAGAGCACGAACGTCACTGACAAACGATCAGTCACGATTTCTTGTAATGCCTCTAATCAAGCGTAAAAGGTGCCACAAGGACCCCATCCTGGAAGGTATGCCGAACCAACAACAAACCTCCGTAATCTTTCACAGCCTTCTGCCAAGCCATACGTTGACCACATCGCGGTTTGCGCCATTATGAGGGAGGCGGGGAAAACAACACTCGTTTCGGTAGACGGTGTTTCGGCGTTCGTAGCATATGGTTGAGTCACCACAGTTAATGGTGCTGCGTGTTCCCCGCGATTGATTGAAGTACGTGCTGCACAACCCGTTTTCTGACCACCTCGCATCGTTGTCGCTGTCTGACACCAGCAACGCTTCTGAAGCATCCGTGGTTGAAAACCCGAAGATGCCTGATATGTTTCGCAACTATACAGCAACACAGTCCTTACTGCAGCCTGGTGCACGTGACCCTTGAGACCCAACGATATGCCGTTTTGATGCCACAAGTAAAGCGAATCAGCAGACGTAATTCTGGCCTTTCAGGTTCATGCACTGAATTCATCAAATACGCTTCCGTCAGAGCTAATACAACTACTGAGGCACGTAAAATACCTCACAACTTCCAGTAATTCTCCTTGAATTGGAAGGGGTACGTTCAGACACTGCAAGTTACGAAGCATGACTTTGCATTTGAAGGTGCAAGGAGAATGCCGAAGGATGACATGATGGTCATCAGTTTATTCAACAGAGCTTGTGCCTCGCCTTCGTCTTCAAAGATGAGGATGATGTCGTCTGCGTACTCCAGATCGACAGCATATTCACCAGCAACGATTTAAACGCCAGCGTCTGACTCAGTATTTCATCAGTAACGAAGTTGAACCAGGACGAAACACAATGCGATGTTTTGTGTATACCGGGAAAGCGCAGCGAAAGCTAACAACAAACGTTTACGACTAATGTTCACACAAGTACTTCATACCGGACTCTCGCCACCTATAATTAGGTGTGAAGGAACAGGTGGAAATGTAAGAGGAGAGGACTCAGCAGTTGCATATTTTTGCTTATTCGTTTGCTGTACGCAGCAAGTAAAGTGACCCAGTAGACGGCATCATGGCGATGTGGCCTGAGCATATTTTTGGTCATGAAGTTCACGTTTTTACGCGGTCTGAGGTACTATTGCGACGCCCTTACCTAGACAGGAGGGCGACTATGGACCTCAGTCAGAGCTTTTGGCTTAAAAACCTGATTGAGAAGCAGCGCGTGAGTGCGCGAATACTACCACGGTTTTTTTAGGAACAACTCACTGTGTCTGTTCCAACCCCAACCTGGAGGACTAGGAGACTTTGTTCGTCAGAGAAGCTCCGACGACGTCAAGGTGTATCTCTTTTGCATCAAAAAACAGTACTCAAGACGATAGTGTTGCCACAGGGTAGATAAAATGAACTTTAGCCCTAAATAGTGATGGCATACTACGTTAACACCACTTATCGGTGTTGAGCAGCTCGCCATCGGAGAAGTAGTTATGTAGTGAGACAATAACAGTATGCCTCTAGTACCACGCGGTTTAAGGGAGATATAGGATAGAATTTTTCCTGGTGCGCTGCCATTCTGTTGGAGATACGCGTGAAAATTTATTGCATATCGATTAGTGAGACAAACGGAATAAAGGATACGGTGTAGAGAATCTCCATCGACCGTATCATTGTCAAAGAAGGCCACACTGATGACACCTAAAATGAAGAATAAGGCCCCACGTGCCTTGAAATGAAGATGTGAAAATAAGTATTTACTTTGGAAGTAGATGAAGCGCCGTACATAACCGTACTGACAGCTGCCAGAACAAGGAGTTCACTATTCTCAAACAATAAAACGGATCTAATATGCGTTAAATTGTATGGCGTTGTAAGCACCTGAAAGGTCCGCAGAGGTATAATCCCTCAATCCATAGTGCATCGAGTATCACCCTTGCCAAAGAAAACCTGCAAACTTGAAACCACTGGATATAATGTACTCATGTAAAAGTAACTTCTCACCTGTAATTTTGTCAGAGCATGTCCTGTGCTGAAAGGCCTTTGCAACGGCAAGAGGATTAAAGCAGCACTGGAAACTGAAGTCCAACTGTAATAACTATTACCTTAGCTTCAAAAGAAGCAGAAATGATACCGTTGGTATGTGTCTCAAAAACTCGAAGGCCGTAAAGTAAGCGACGACCTTGAGTAATTTCGAAAGCACCAGCAAACCTTGGTGAAACCGGACACTAAAAATGATTTGGGAGTGGTCAAAATGAACATACCCTCTCGTTGGATATATGACTGCATGCGTGCTCATCTGAAACAGAATGTACCGAAAAATCGTTTTGGTGTCAACCGTTTACGCCAGCAGCATTAAACCAAAACCACTGCACTATTACAGGAAATAACGTCAAAAACGAAAGAAAAAACTACTCCAACATTCGGCAGTCCACCAGACTAATACAGTGATCTTGGTAGATAAATTCACCTACACGTTCCATTGACTGTTCCGCGTGTCTGTATCCACTTGGTCTCACGCATTTTTATTTTGTGATAAGGATTTTGAAGTTCCGATTTTTCCTCTACATGTGAGGTCAGTCTATGCGGGAAGGCTAAGAAACATGAAATAGCTACTTCAAACTTGCTGAGAATAGCCATCAATGCACATCAAGAATCCAAGCTGTATTCGGTGGCTAGTTGAGTGCAGATAACTTTAAGGTCAGATTGCAGAACCTTTGTGGAGAAACGAAAGAAGGCGAGCATAGTGCTGCGCAAGATGCCCAAAGGTCCCCCTGATTCTTGTCCGGGAGGCAGATACCCAACCACGCTACGAAAAATGGATACCCGAAAATCGAAGGATCGGAAGGGAATGACCATCCAGAGTAAAGAACGCCTCGACCGTTGGGCTGAATACTTCGAACAGCAGTTATCGTGGCCACCAGGTGCCACTCATCTGGAGCTCCCAGTTGACATAAAACCCTGAACGATGAACGTGGAACCCCATACGGTCTGGGAGGTTTATGACTGCATATGATTTCTCCAGCGCCACCGAACTTCCACTGGGCAGAGTCGGTGATAATGTTCACTTTCAAAAAGGGGCTCTTAGTGTGTGGTAACCACAAGGGGGTCAGCTTGACCCCGGTCGTTAGGGGACTGTCAGCATTACTCCTGCTTCGTCACCTTATGGTGGGAGTTGAAACACTGACTTGAAGACAACAAGCAGAATTCCTGCCTGGTAGTGGTTGCGTAGACGAAATCTTCACACTCCGTCAGGTGTTAGAACAACGCCATACGTACAAACGACGCACAATTTTAGTATTCCTGGATTTCTAAGATGCTACAAAATGCCCGGAAGTTCGTGAGCATGATACGTTTTTGTATGTTTAGACTTCCAGACGTGTGCGAGTTGTGTAGAGCTCTCCAAAAAGCATCCGTACACAAAGTGGTGTCCGTCACGGGTGCTCCCTATCTCCATTACTATTTATTTTCGTGATCGTTGAGACCATGAGAAGAATGCTGGAAGGTTTTCAAATAGCCTGCAACGAAGACGATGTCGAGATGGAATGTGCAGATGTAAGGTCATGCTCGTGGACATGCAGTCACTGAATGCGCTACTTACATTCCAGGAAGAGGCATTCGAAGTTGTGGAGCGCTTTACGTACCCTGGATGTTGTGTCGGTTCTGACCGTAGTGTGACAGATGAGGTCAATGCACGAATCTCCAAGACCCGGGTCGCATTTGCTAATTTGAGATACCCAGGGCGTCAAAGCGGTACATCCAAATATCTCAAGGGACGTGTGCGGGCTGATTTTCTGTATGGCTGTGTAACGACCAGCGGAACTGAGACGTCTTCAGGTGTTCGACAATCGTTGTCTCAGGATTGTAGCCCGTGTGGGTTGGTGTCGGCGTATCCATAACGAGACAATAAGAAACAAAGTTTTCAGTTGTGCAACGGGAACTTCCGTTGAAGAATGTGTCCAGCACAGCAGGCTACGTTGATTAGGCCGTGGATCAAACCTAAACTCCGAATCTAGACTGCTCCTGTCTGGGGTTCAGAAACCTGGCAGTGCCTCTACCCTCGTGCTTTCTTCGGGTGGCATGGCAGCCAGGAAGCGAAAGTGTTACAGATGAACGATTATTTTATTATCAATTCATCTGATCATTGTTAACAAGAACGCCTAAGTATTGAGTCTATCGTACTCGGTTCAGGGTATAGACTCCAAAATCAGGACTTGAAAAGACTCAACTTCCTAGCTGAAAAGAGAGCACCAGATTTTTTAGAGGGAGACAGCATACAATCGCCCGTATTATGACCGTCCCTACGTCTGACTGCGGAACGCTCCGGAGTGGATGCCACATAAGGTTCATGCTGTCTGCAAAAGTAAAGCGCGGAGTCCAGCCCAAGAATCAGATCATCATCATCATCATCATCATCACCATCATCATCATCATCATCATCATCATCATCATCATCATCATCATCATCATCATCATCATCAATGACAGCAACATCAGTGTTGGCACTGATGCTTCACTGCCGTACAACCATAAATATATATATAGTTGTATTAAAAGCCCTACAGTGA